TCAGGAGACAGAGTCAGGATCTGACCCTAATTCAAACTGATTGGCGCGGCTCAATGAATCAATTGCCGCTTTCAACCAGAGGTTTATTTTTCCTCTCCCCTTCGCAATGAAAATAATAAGAATAAACCTCTGGAACCAGGATATCCAAGTATCTGCATGTGATTGCATTGATATTTTGTTTCAATATTTTCATGGCAATTTGATGAATTTGACCTTTTTTATCCCCAGGCGCCGAATAGACAATTTATAATATTTTTTGTATTTTGAGCAGTCTTAAAACTCTTAGTGCCGGATAGTGTTAACTGGGCTTTTGTACGACCCGATTTTCCAAGAGTTTAAATTTTATGCGTCAGAAAGCGAGTAAAACGGATATGATCATATGCAACCGATCGATGATACCGATCGCTGTATGCGGTATGTCTTTCAAAACTGTAGGCTGATCAGAGTTAACAGTAATTTCGCTAAAGAACTAAAGAAGACAAGTCCGTTCTTATGGCATGGCTCGTCTTTCTCTTGGTCTTCTTCTCATGTGCCTGTGGAGTCTTCTTGAGAATCTTGCGCCTCTGACGACTCAAAATATTCTCTTTGGCTTTGACTGCGCTTTGCAGTCTCAAACGGATTAGCTGGTACGTCTTTATGTGCTACTCGCACTCGGTTTCCCCAGGGCGCTATAAAACACTATGTGTTTTATAGCGCCCTGGTTTCCCTTATGGCAAGTTTGCTCGTGCCTCTTACGGTAATCGTCGGGCCGTATGTTAGATAACTTTTATGGTTAATACGTTTTCCCTCGTGAAATAAGTAATAAAGTTTCTATAGTCGTCAAAAGTCGAATTACATTCAAGACACTAAAGTTTTAGTCTTTTTCTTTTGGGTTTTGAACCGCGCATAATTGATAAAGAGCTAGCCTTCGCTATAAGAGCAGTTGAGCGAAGAACATGCCCGGAAACGTGGGTTTCACATTTCAGCCTCCCGTCGATTTTCGACAAATAAAAGACTAATAGTTTTACTAGAAAACAGAAATACATTTAAATGGTTTTGACATAAGAACACACAAACCATTATTTTAAATCCAAAATTTATCGCTTTATTTATCGCCTTCGTTCTTAACTTTTACAATTTGCTGAATGCCGAATTCGCAATTTGCCGAACAGTAACGAAGCAATTTGCCGACTGGGGCCGACTTGCCAAAATTATTGGGGGGGTGAAGCACCCCCCCACACCCCCCCGCTCGCGACGGCCCTGCTAGAAACCACTGCTGGCAAGGTAAAAAACGCCTATTTTGGTTTCAAATCTAATGCAATGGTGCGTAGAATACACTGAATTTTGTTTTATGATCAAATTTAAACCTAAGATTCCCAGTGTTTGCGTGTATAAAATATCTTTGTTGGCATTGTGGTCCCAGAAAGTAAAATATTTTATGCAGCCCTGTAGCAGATCTTTACCCAGCGAAGCCTATACTTGAACCTATCCATATAAAAAATGCGCGCTATATAAATGTAATTCATTATCATTATCATTACTTTCCGTGCCAAGCCTTGATGTCCACTGAAATCGGATCCAACTTCTCGCTTGATCAATGTAACCCAACACTCAGTGATATAGAGGACGTCGTGTCACAATAAATACGAAATTTTTCAGGATTCTAATGCAAAATGGCACTGAATGATTTTATTGTAAATTGTATAGTTCTTGAGATATAATGATTTTCCCGTCAAGTTGACAACACTGTTTTCAGATTCGATCATGGCTACTCGTTATAATCACA